ATGTGTCTTGGCACACTTGTCCATTAAAAGCCCCACTGGCCTCTACATTTAAAGACTTCTTTAGATCGGAAGATACCCAATCTCCCAGTATTAAATGCAAAAAACATAGTTTACCGCAAAATGTGTCCAAGAAAACTGGTCTGATGCAAGTTTTCTAATATTTTTTTCAGTTGACAAGGTTGTCAAAAATCAACTCAAAAACATACCTTGCTCAAATCGTGCTTTTTTCCGGACGCCGTCTCTGCATGTGGCCGTTAAAAAACATTTCATGGCCATCATCCTGCCCTGACAGAAACAGCCTGTGATTATGCTTCACGTTTATCATTATTAAAACGCCACTGACGCAACCCTTTCGAGTTGAACAGACCTTTAAGAATTTCGGTTAATGGTGTATGTCGTACTGTGTCTTCATATACGCTTGTCTAGTACAACCTTACTGAACTGTGCGTTTGCATATCTGTGATACTTAGCACATCCAACTCACGGCTTTTGTGGCAATATTAGTAGCACTAAGGGCAGTGGAAGTAGCAGTGGCAGAAAATGCAGAAATATCGACAAAAAAGTAGGAAAAGCTGTTGCGATACCAGCAACAACAGCTTCTAAACCAACAGGTCGCGAGTTCGAGGCTCGGGTGTTCCACACTTCGGGCTTGGGTATGGCTGGCTGACGACGGCTAATAAGCCAGAAATGGCCATTCCAGTCTCCCTTGTCTTTGTCGGTAATATCATTCTGCCTATATATCATGCGCCGCTGTGCGGCTGCTGGTTGGGCTCGAGAGAGAGTCCATAAGGCACAACGGAACGAGTGAGTTCCGTATGAACGATCGGTGAGCGCGCTCTAACATTGTATATTCCCGATCGAAAACCGACAGGGCAACGGGCTCGTGGCCCGGTGAGTAGAGGCGTTGACTTCTAAACCAACAGGTCGCGAGTTCGAGGCTCGGGTGTTCCACACTTCGGGCTTGGGTATGGCTGGCTGACGACGGCTAATAAGCCAGAAATGGCCATTCCAGTCTCCCTTGTCTTTGTCGGTAATATCATTCTGCAGCAATAATATTAATAATAGTGGACGTTGTAGCAATGTCATTAGTAGTATTCGCAATGGCCGTAGCAGCAGTAGCACCAGTAGTGGTGGAAGTAATAGTATTATTAGTGCTAGTAGAAGTGGCAGTGGCACACTGGTGGTAGTGGAAGTATTTCTGGTACCTGTATTTTCACCCTAACGTTAGTAGAAGTAAAAGTAGTGCTTATCTGGGTAGCAGTAGTTGCAGTGACGATAGTAGTAGGAATAGCAACAACTGCACCGGCGATCGTATTAATTATACAAAGTCGTTTGTTGTTTCTGGTCTTATTAGAATAACTGAAGCAGTACTATTAGTTGCCGTAGAAGTATTGGCCTTATTAGTAGGTTATGTAGCGGCATTAGCATTACGATTAGAAAAAAGAACAGTATTTTAGTAGTGTCAGCAGCAAGTGCAGAAGCAGTGGTAGCGGCAAAAGTACTGACAAAAGCTTTGCAGCAGCGGTAGTAGAAGTAGTAGTAGTAGTAGTAGTAGTAGTAGTAGTAGTAACGCTGATGGTGGTAAAAGTAGTGGACATAGTAGTGGAGATAGCAGCAGTTATTTTTTGTAGAGAAAATAGTACTGGTGGCATAAACGGCGGTAGTTTTGTAGCGGTTGATTTAAATATCCTAGTACCACTAATATTTATGGTCTTCTCTGCATTAGTATTGGTAGAAGTAATGGTCTTAGTAGTTGTTGTAGAAATATTAGTAGTAGTTTTTGTAGTAGTGGTACTGGTAGTTGTAACCATTGTAGTTGTAGTGGCAGGGGTAATGA